CTTTGTTCTAGTGCACCCCTAGGTGCTTCCTGCATTTATAATATTATGTGCAATCAAACACCATTTTTTGACAAATTTTATTATTCGCAGTGTTTTATGTGCTTCTACAAGGCCATAATGCCACAAACATATACACACGCGCGCGCGCGCGCATGTGCACACACACACACACACACGCACACACACACGCACGCGCACTCACACACACACACACACACGCACACACGCACACACACACGCACGCACACACGCACGCACGCACGCACACACGCACGCACGCACGCACGCACGCACGCACGCACGCACGCACGCACACACACACACACACAAACTTTCGCATATAACAATAGTGTGATTTTAGTGGACTTTAACAAGAAATTAATCAATTCTATTTTTCTTTCTCTCATCTTCGTAAAACCATGTATAAAGTTTCGTTACTCATAAAATGCAGCAACAATAACTTCAGTACATATAAAACATATAAACGCTCGCAACCAACAATCATATATCATACCAATAAATTACTTAACTCTTTAAAATTTTACAGTTTATTCTGGAGCGATGTCAAATTCGCGTAAGTGGCAGTTAAATAAAAATTGCAATAAAAAAATTGTAAAACATCGACATGGCTCGAATGCCAAAGGGTTGTAGTTTGCTTTTACAACGCGAATTTTGGTGCATCTTTATAGCTAACCATGACCATGACTCTAGTGTTCTGCTAGCCATTTTCCTAGCACAAAAATATTTAGTTTGTACATTTGTTCTTTCAATTATGAATTGCCAAAATATTAGTCTTCAATATCTTGACAAAATCTTATAAACATTTTGTCAACTTCCTGTAATGTGCCTTTGATTAATACCAAGTAAAACTTCTCCGTAGGTAGATTGTGTCGTCTGTAAAATTAGAACTCTGTAAGCGTAATCGGTACAACTTTTAACTAGATAAAGCTTTTATTCGTCTATTGTTGTTTATTGAAAAAATAAAGTTTAACATACGAACGACATGCAACAGGTTTATTTGCCCTAAAAATAAAACATCAAGTTAAAATTTACATAAAATATTTAAGTTTTTCGTTGTTTATTTAATTACTAACAAGTACTAAATTGTGACATCGATAGCCAAACTTGTCTTTCAGTGCTACGAAACTTTTTCTTTGTCAACCTCTCTATGGTTTATATTATCATTCATCTGGATATTTATCGACACGTTTACTCACAAAGCGTGTTATTTATGCTGAAATGTTATTATTTCCGAAAAAAATAAAATATTGTTATATTATAAAAGTTGATATTTCTTATCTGACCAAGAATTATAGAAGATAAATATAAGGATATTCTATAACTAATGTTTTCTCGCGGCTCCGCCTGCGTCGTTTAATTTTGTAAAATTACTCCGTCTTCATTGGTCTTAGTGTGATTCCTCAATAAATAGGCTATAAAAGGTATAAATATTTTTGTGAAATCAGTGTTCAAACAAACAAACTCTTCAGCTTTATATATTAGTAAAGATATAAACTAAAATAATATAAACCAGTAAATTTTGAAAGAGCAAGTGTTGATTTTTTTTCTCAGTAGAACTGTATTTCTAGCTAAAGGCAGCATCTCATGGAATGAATACGCTGACGTTTCCATATATGACATATGAATGTAAAAATTAAAAGTTCTTGTAAAACTATATTAGCAAAGTACATTTTCAGTTCGAGTTTGAAGCGAATTTATTCATAAAATACTGCGATTTACCCTCGTTCTACTCGGGTTTGTCCCTACATACGTTTTAAAGTTTAATATAGATTTCTCAGAGATGAGATATTTTCCGTATATATGTTGACCCGGATAACCAGCTATCATCATACCAAATTTCATCATAACCCTCCAGTGGTTTTTCCGTAATGCGGTAACAGACAGACAGACAGACAAAAATTTTAAAAATCATAGAGAGTAATGTCTATTTGTATAAGATTTTCCAAAGAATATTTAATGTACAGATTCGGCTTAGCTAGAATTTTATTATATGTATAGATGTAATTGTAACATATAACGTATGTACATGAAGCTGTAAAGTTCTAGTTTTAGCCCGCGGGTTATTGAGTCTAGTTACTTAGAGATAATGTAGCTCAATAATAATCCTCTACAAACAATGTATGAATATTACTTGTTAATAAAAGTTAAAATTGTATAAATGTTAAATACCTTAGCAGTTTGGTTATTTTTAAGTAGCCTTGAATTTTTAAAATTAATATTTTTCGTTTTCATTCCGTGCTTCGAATACCTTTCTTTTCCATTACTCAACGCTCAGTTGTTTTTTTTTATTAAAACATCAAATTAATTAAATATATTATCTTTATCATCTTTAGACGTTTGTTTACTACTAAATGTAAATACTATTTATAGTAAATTATAGTAACTGCAAGCGTTGAGTAGAATATGGAAGGCTAGCTGTTCAATCCATACTAATATTATTATCAATGAGAAAGTAACACTGTATGTCTGTCTGTTACGTTCTTACGCCTAAACGCTAAACCAATTTTGGGTATAGAGAGGCATATGGGACCTTGGAGAAAGACATGAAATTTTTTTAAAGTACTTACCTACTTTTCTTTACCTATCCCTGCATGTGTGTGCATATATAATTAGTCTATCTATTCCATACTAACTATTAAAACTTACCTAATGACGAAACCGAGCGAAGCGAGGTTGATCCGCTACTATACAAATAAGTTTATATGAAAATATGGCCCAGCTTAAACAAAATTAACTTATCAATTAAAAATATGTTAAGTAAATAAAGCTATTCAAAATTCATTCCAAATGGGTTATATAATCTATACGTATAATAAAATTGTAACTAAGCCGAATCTGTACATTAAATATTTTTGGAAATTCTAATTGAAATAGACATTAGACATTAGATTATACAGAGTCCGAATCTATAGTATTTAGAATTTTTGTCTGTCTGTCTGTCTATCTGTCACCGCATCAAGAGAAAACCACTGGACAGATTTTGATGAAATTTGTCAACATATAGGATACTTTTTACTGCTGGAAAATATCTCATTTCTGAGAAAAAATATAAAAACTGCATTGTAAGAGTATACTAATATGTAAAACCTAAGAATTTGGTTTTTGGTCATCTGAATGCGGGCGGAGCCGCGGGCAATGTTAGTTTTTATATAATTATTCACTCATTCCTATAAACCTATATTACCTAACAGTAACGCGACGTCATTAAAATTATTGAAATTCATCTCGAACTTTTCTAATAAAAAAGCTCCATTTATTGAAGGAGAAAATTTCACAGCTTCGTCCCAATCTTATTCACTCAAAGTCGTCTAAAATACGTAAATAGTTCCGTAACAAAATTACAAACAAGAATCTCAGATGAGAGACAAATTCCAATGTTATATTGTTTAGAATCAAATGGAATTCACATTTACCTACTCCATATAATTATTTTTTATACATAGATATATATATATATATATATATATCGTTAGATAAAAAACACTTGTTAGATTTTTGTATTTTTGTATATGTTTTTATCATAAAAAAATTTTTTTAATACAAAACCACGTTTTTCATTTTTTTAGAAAATGTTGGTATCACGTTTAGTAATGTTGAAAACAAATGATTCGTCTCGCTTGGTCTAGTGGTTGCAGATCGATATATAGATCATGAGATCTAGGATTCGAATTAGGTCGGGCTAAAATAATAATTTTAAATAAAATGATAAGTGTAATTTATTTAATTTAGACTTCAAAAAAAAATTGTATTTCAGCCCTCTTAAAATTCCAACGTTCCACTGCTGGGCACGGGCCTCCTAATTTTTTTATTGATAACACTTAAAACTCGTCAATGGCTATTAAACAAAAAAAAATAAAATCTGTTGACAAACAGAGGAGAAAAAGGTACTGAAGAAAAAGGGTTTGCCTTATCCTATCTATATGCATATATAGATAATGTCTGTTTATAATTTCATGTTTCTTGAATCTGGAGCATACAATTTTGGTTGAGCGTAACCTGTAAGTCAATATTAAAATTTACTTAAGCCATAGTGAAGCACTTAATCGAGTAATATCATACACCAAAATGCCTCACATCATTTTGGAACAGAGCTGGTACTCTTACACTGCTGGACCGATATTAACCAAACATAGCTAAGAACTACCGCAAGGAAATTGGCTTACAAATGAAAAAAACCGCATCGAAATCGGTTCATCCGTTTTAGAGCTAGGATGCCACAGTTTTTGCGACGGGAGTTAAAATCAATATCACGAGAGAAGTGAATATGACATCAATAAAAAAAATATTTTACAACCCATCAATCACTACAATACAAATAATGTTTTTATTTCAATTTTAATTCCCACCCCTCAAACGATATTATTGAGATTTTTAAGTGAAACAAACAAAAAGTAAGTTATTAAGTTATATACACGTCACAAATAAGTTAAAAACCTAAACATTGAAATTTAAGCCAAAAAAAATTCCAGCCTTACACGTTCATGTAGACGTAAATTTAACTTCGTACACATAAATCGCAGCAACAATAACTTCTGTACATATAAAACATATAAACGCTCATCCATAATCGCAACCAACAATCATATATCATACCAATAAATTATTTTATACTTTAAAAATTTACAGTTTATTCAGGAGCGATGTCAAACTCGCGACACTGGCAGTTAAATAAAAAATTGCAATAAAAAAAATCGTAAAACATCGACATGGTTCGAATGCCAAAGGTTATAGTTTGCTTTAAAATACGACACGACGGCATATATATGAGTACATGGTACAGTGTATTAGTTTATTTTAGAGTGTACACTGAAACCAAGAGTATGGCTCTCGCATTTTTGTTAATCATTTTGCTAACACATAATTATTTTGTTTATGGATACGTTCATTTTTTAAATAACCCATTAAACGTCACTAATTATGATTTAAAAGTTGTAAATATAGGCGAAACTCCAATATATTTTGATTGGAGAAATTTAAACATGGTATCACCGGTGAAGAATCAAATTGACTGTAATGCATGTTGGGCTTTTAGCGCAGTCGGTGAGTAGACTAACGGTTATTCTCAATAAAAACAACAAAATCAAAAGCATTTCCTAAGATGCCAACAACTTAGTCTTATACGCCCCGAGAACTAACTACGGCAAAAGGAATCTAATGTTTGAAGGAGCACAGTTATATAATAAAATATCAACAGATATAAAGGAATCAAAAACAATTACAACATTTAAAAAAATGCTAAAATATTATATTTTAAAAACTTGAAGTAAAATGTAGTCTTTGCCATTTCCATGATTTCTTTATTCTTAGAACTTTGCTCTGAACTGTATTGTTAACTTGTTTGTAGTTTTAAGTATTATTTTTACGGATTACCCGCATGCTATGTATTTCTCATAAATGTAACTTGTACGTACTCGCATTTAGTGAATGTTATAATATTTAATGCGTTTTCTCATGTAAGTGAATTTGTTATTCTTAATCTATACTTATAATAAAATTGTAACTAAGCCGAATCTGTATATTAAATAATTTTTGGAAAATCCTATTGATATAAACATTATTATCAATACAGAGGCCGAATCTATAGTTTTTAGAATTTTTGTCTGTCTGTCTGTTACCGCATCACAGAAAAACCACAGCAGGGATTTTGATGAAATTTAGTATGGTGATAGTTGGTTATCCTGGTCAACATATAGGATACTTTTCACCGCGGGAAAATGTCTCATTTCTAAGAAAAAATACAAAAACTGCAATATAAGAGTATACTAATATGTGAAACCTAAGAATTTGGTTTTTGGTCATCTGAACGCGGGCGGAGCAACGGGCAATGCTAGTGAGAAATAAAGATTCTAAGCAGAACCTATCTGTCTATTATTCTCCTGACTAAAGATAGAAATTTGACATTTTGTATGGATATATGTCAAATGACTATTTCTATTAAGGAAAATGGTAATAAATAGGTTATTGCGATCCACCGTAAGACTTAATTTTAAATTTTATGATTTCAACCTAAACAGGCTTGTAAATGTTTTCTAAGACTCCAGTTTATATATTTGCTTATGTCACTCTTTGAGTATTCGAGGGTCTAGATTGCCTTATTTTCAATTTTCAGCAAACATCGAAAGTCATTTAAAAATTCATCTGGGAAGAGTGGAAACATTATCTGAGCAGTTCCTAATAAATTGTGATGGCGGTGAAGCTGGTTGCGGGCCACAGAGCCTTTTATTAACTTTTGCGTATGTTCATTTTGTATTCAGTCCTTTTTAACATCCCACTGCTGGGCACGGGCCTTCCTTCAGTACGAGGGGAATCAGGCCATAGTCCACCACGCTGGCCAAGTGCGGGTTGGCGGACTTCACGTATCTTTTGAAAACTTACTAGGTTCTCTCAGACATGCAGGTTTCCTCACGATGTTTTCCTTCACCGTTAAGACAAGTGGTAATCATCTTGGAAATGTTTCCCAAGCGAGCGCATTACCACTGGGCTACCACTACCTGTGTGTGTGTGTGTGTTCATTTTAAAACTAACAAATCAATATGCCCGGTACGGTGTATAATAGACTATAATATAATAGAATATATAGACCTCCTTTTATGAATTACTTCCCTTGAAGGAAAATAAATATAAACATTTGATTTAAGAATTCAATAATTTATTATGCATTTATTGGAATCAAAACAACTATTATTTCAAAAATTGTCCTAAAACAGGAATAAGATATATAGTTAAAGAAGTACAAACTTTTTATCAACTTTGTAAGCAGTACAGTGTAACAATTTCAATTTGTTTGCTGTAAATATTTCAATTCAACAATAATGTAAAGAATAAATCTTCATGAATATCCAACTATAATTTTAAAATTACTCAGAAATTTCACTTATGACTTACAGGCGAATAGTGGTACAACTAGGAGGAGTTCTTCGCAACGAGGATTATGAACAGTACGCTGGTCAACTAAAGCCTTGTTATTGGAATGGTTCTCCAAAACCAGTGCCAGTTATAGGTTTTCGAAGAGTACCATCAAATGAAGATGCCATAGCGACATACATTTACAAGTATGGTCCGGTTTCAGCAGGTATTTGGTCATATATAATATTTTTTTTTAAGTTTACTAGTATACAGCCCAGTGGTTGAAGCTTGGATATAATTATTAATAAAAATTGTAATATATATATGAATAGAAATCATGTTTGACATAAAAAAATCCCAATTTTTTTAATGACAACACTAAAGCTCGTAAATAGCTACTAAGCAAAATTAAAAGAAATAAAATCGATTTTCGATGTGTTTTGATTTGTATCGCCTGGCACCGACTTCGAAAATTATTTATCTATAGTAAATGTAAACTACCAATCAGTTATTTATTACTTTTTAATGTTTTTTTTTTTGAAATCGGTTTTTTTAATTTTTTAATTTCTTATTTTTTCATTTTTAGTGTAGGCATAGTCGTAGCAAAATAATCAATCATCCTCTATTATCTACACATGGAGTGGTATTTTTTCAAATTTAAATAGGAAAATTTCAAAATAAACCTCTTTCAAACAAAAAAAGAATTTTACAAATCCGTCTATGTATATCAGAGTTACGCCCAAACATACACAAAAAAATATAAGCATCCGAATTGGGAACCTCCACTTTTATGAATTCGGTTAGAAAAAGAAAATCGGTTGACAAACAGAGGAGAGAAAGTAATTCTAACACTAATATATAGCTTACTTATTCCTACTTTTTCATTATTCCTAGATGCTACAGGTTATAAATTATTTTTGAATTTTATTTTTAAAAATATGTCTCGCTGCCTAAATACTTGCTTAAAATTGGCAAATTCTTCAACAGTTCTACAAAAAGTCCGTGATGCCATCGATATATGGTTGCTCTTATGTTTAAAAATATTTTTCGACTAAGTAAAAGTTGATTTTATTTTAACTATATAATACTAATTTAAAAAAATATATTTCATCGTGGTTTAATTTCATTTGTCACGATGAAAAATGAAAATAAACCACGACATGCACAAAGACATCTAGGGACGCGAGTATTTAATGTTTTGACAAATCGTCTTATCCTCACTAAGAGTCAAGCTAAGTCAATATAATGGCCATTTTTATTGCTCTAGAGGAGGAAATACATATATTGATATAATTAGATGTCGACAAAATTCTTATATTTTTATTAGTTTTTTTTTATTTCTAGGAATCAACTCGGCATCAATGGCAAAATACGATGGTGGGATCGATGAGCCTACAGACGAAATATGCGATCCCAATGACTTAAATCACGCAATTCTCATTGTTGGATTCGGCTCTTATGGTTTGAATCTTACTTCTTTTTAGATATTTACAATTCCTATATTTATAACTTATATTTATTATATTAATATTTCATAAAATTTGTTATATTTATAACTAGCGACTTACCCTTGCTTTGCTCGGATGCCTTCATGGAATTTAATTTTGCGCGGAACCCTAATTCTTTTTCTAAAATTAAAGTAGCCTGAATTACTCCTTATAACATCAGCTATCTGATAGTGAAAATCGCGTCAAAATCGGTCAAGTTATTTCGAAGATTGGCCATAACAAACAGATAGACGGACAAAAAATTATTTATTTGCATTTTATAGTCTATTTATTAATAATGATTATTGGCTATCTTCATCATCACACTACGACCTACGAGAGGGGAGTAATTCTGCACTATACGACGCGGGTGGAGCCGCGAAAAACGCTAGTAAATAATAATAGAGACCTAATAATTGCTGGGTTCAGGCCTCGCTTTCGCGTGGATTTTGCCATAGTATGATGATTTTTATATATATAAAATAAATTTAATAATAACTGTACAAGATATCGGATAGAAAAACTATTCGGTGTTATCTCGGTGATGTACAGCAGGATATTATAACTTATAGAAAGTTTTTAGCACTTCATATGTAAATTTTTTATGATGAAACGCTTTCAGATGACCCAAATCGTGGTTTAATTCCATATTGGATAATAAAAAACTCATGGGGTCAGGAATGGGGTGATCAAGGATATTACTATCTAGTACGAGGGAAAAATGCTTGTGGAATTGCCAAGGACGTGTCTCTAAGTATAGTAAGCTAAAGAAATCAAAACCAAATGACTGAAAATGGTAATATTCATGATTTTAGTTTGTAATATAATTTTCAAATGATAAATATTTATATACATAATAAATTATAATACCAAAGTATATTTAAAGCTTCTTATTTGCTTTTTTAATAACTACCACATGTGCTTTTGATTATATAATATATATAGAAAAACATAAACAAATCTATCCCACGGGAACCGTAAACCATTTTTCCGGGATTAAAAAGTAGCTTATGTGCTATACCAGACAATCTCTGTGCCAATTTTTTTCTAGATCCGTTCTGGCTTGATTGAGTTACAAACATCCATCCAAACACACAAACATTTAAACTTTCACATTTATAATATTAGTATATAGTAGATATAGATTTACTAACACAATTTATACCGAAATAAAGTCCCTATTAACACCTGATCATACCATCTATATATACGTATGTATCTGAAACGTAGCCGGTAGAACTTTTACCGTAACGCCCTAGATAAAAACAATACCATTTTCTTCTATTGTCGCTTATTGAAAGAAGTTCAATACACGAACAACCTACAATAGGTTTGTTTGCCGTAAAAATGAAGTATCAAATTTTTTTGGACGTTGACCAAATTACTAACAACGTCTAAATTGTGGTCTCAATGGACAAACTTGCCTTTCACCAATTACAAAACTTTTTTCTTTGTCCACTTCACGATGGTTTTATATTATCGTTTCGTCGAGCATCATATTTATCGACACGTTTGGTACTTTTTATTCAGTATTATCAAGTGAACCCCATTACAAAGACTGATATTTATGCTAAAAATATACCTACTTTCTTTAGATAAAGATAATCTTCTGTGAATCCAGATTGTCAAATCCTGGCTTCGGACCCAAGACCGAAACATGATCATAGACAACAGTTATTGGAATTTTCTGTCCTGAAATACTCAGTAGCAGCCTGTTGGGAAGTCGGCAATGTGTACACTGATCGTGTTGAGTTGTCGCCCCACCGGAATATAAGGGTTAAAGGCACAGAGTATATTTGTGTGCCCCACGCAATTGACTAGTTAAGTTTCCTACCGTTACCAAAATCGGTTATGAGAACATTAATATTATTATTAATATTACATTCATAACAGCATGAGTTACTCGGGAATGGTATATAAAAGAATTTTTTTGGAACAACTTAGTAGCTTCAGTTATTAAAACACATTAAAAATATTTATATATAAATATGTTGGGACATTAACACACAGCACCATCTATGCCATGGTATGCTACGAGACTTATGTTATGGATACCAGATAGTTGATACACTACACATGTATAACTTTAAATAAATACACACCCATGACTGGAGTACAAGCATTCGTGCTCATCACACAAATGCCCCCAGCGGTACACGAACCCGTGACCGCTGGCACACCAAGTAGAACAAGTAGGGTCACTACAAACTGAGCCAAACGTGTCGTCATTGAAACTTATTTGTCTCTGTATAATAGTTTAATATTCTATAAATTATAATTACAGAAGAATCTATTTTTAATACCATGAAAGTTTAAAAATGACATTATTAATCTTCGCCCTCGTTTTCATATCGAGCATCGAGTATCTTTTCAATTAATCTCTTCACTCAATTTTTTAATGAAATGTTGCAAATTAAGTAAATAGTATATATATATATATATATGTATATATATATATATATATATATAAGCCGTAAGTTTAAAAAAAATATTTAGTAGTTTTAATATGGTATACTGATAGAATACATAGATGTCCAATTGTTTCCTCTCATTTTTCATCGGAGAATAAAATCTCCCAATCAAATGGCCAATACAACTCATTCTCTTTACACTAGTATCTTACTAGCAATACCCGCGGATTCGCCCGAACTTCCGATCGCTAACAAACTTCACAGGACCATGAGCTGGGCTAATCTGAAGATTGCCTAAAAATTTAATCAAAATCACTCCAACCATTTTGGAGTTCATATAGAACATACATACACACATCAATTTTTATATATTATAGATTATAAACAAACGAGTAATTTAATGGGATTTTACTCATGATGCTTATCATATTTAAGTGATAAAGCTATTATAATATGTAAACAAAAATATGCCTGTAACATGCTGGACCGATTTCGACGGGGTTTTCATTGACAGATAGCTTATGATATAAGGAGTAACTTAAGCTTTTATTTTTGAAAAAGAATCAAGGTTCCGGGCAAAAGAACTCAAACCCATTATTAACCCATCATTATGGCTTAAAACCCATGTAATTGTGACTGTGAATCGCGTACCTAGACGCACCCGAGCGAAGCATGGGTAAACCGCTAGTACTAAATATAAACGTAAAAAAGACATGGATTTGTTGGATTATTTTTCTTAAATACAACAATAAAAAAACACAACGATAAGATTTCGCATAAAAAAATTTAATATCTGGTACTTTTTATTCAGTATTATCAAGTGAACCCCATGGCATATAAGCCTGTTGCAAAAAGTGATTCTGCAAATACAATAAGTATGATTTTCTTTAATCTTTTTTTATTTTGTTCATAAAAGACATTTTTGATTCGAATATTTCAACATTTTCACGAAGCAACAAGATTGTTTTATTCATTCTTTCTCTATGAAATGAAAGTTTATGATGAGATCCGAAGTTACTTGTACATATAATAGTGTCACAATTATATTTATATGTATTTCTAATCTTTAAAAGCAGTGCTTAACTAATTAATCTATGATAATTTAAAAATTTTGGCTTTCTTGATGTGTTCTGTTTTCTAATATAAATGTACGTATATTACACATATTCTTTGACTTTTAAGGCTCCGTACCCGAAGGGTATCAAACGGAACCCTATTACTATGCCTCCGCTGTCTGTCCGTCCTTCTGTCAGAGGGCTGTATCTTATGAACCGTAATAGGTAGAGAATCGAAATTTTCACAGAGTATGTTTTTCCATTGCCTATATAGAAAAAAAAATTTCCTCGAACCAACAACAAATAATAAAAATAAATAAAAATCTTCCTCGTCGATCGTCGAATTTAATAGGTATACTACATACTCTATGTATGTATATAAAGTTATATTAATAAAAGTACATGTACGATAGTACGGAGCCCTTCGTGTATAAATTCGACTCGCACTTGACCGACTTCTATCAAGATATATTTAGGTCAGGATAGATGAGATATTTTTTGTGGGTTATCATTGGTGGTGGGCATTATCGATTTTTCTTGCCTAGTTATATTTAGCCAAGTGGTATGCGTACATGCATTTCCCAATTTAAAAATCTCCTAACTTAAAAATTTTTTAACCGACTTCAAAAAAAGCGACAGACAAAATCAGTGGTGCTGACTTTTGTTGTAGGTTCAAAGTTTAATAACATCTCCCAATTAAATGGAAAATACAATTTATTCGCACTATACTAGTATAAAACCTATATAATTTGGGTATATATTTATCTTGCATATATAATACAAAAGCTTCGCCATACAGAACCGAATTTCATGACCCTTTTTTTAAAAAAGGTGGTCCTATAAAAAATATTAAGAAATCATCCAAAGGCGTAGAATAATTACATTTAAAGCAATTTTGAAGTTGGCAAGCCGGCTGATTGAGCACAAAAAACTTTAATCAATTTGCTTAAGTACACACTAAGCCGCCCTTAATGAATCACTAAGTTACCTTTGTTTTTTCATGCTCCTAGGTTTATTTATTCCAATATATACTTAAACCTGTACATAAATAGGCAAAAATAACACGGTTTAATACCTTTTTTTCCTCTGTTTGTGAAGAGATTTTTTTATTTAGTTTTTAGTGTTTTATTCACGAGCCTATGAATAAAAATATTTTTGAAAAGTTTTTTTTATATAGATAAGTAAATTCTTCTCTTCATATATATATATTCCTCAAATTTTCAACTTTTCTCAAATTGTCAAATTTTGACCACTAGTTAAATATAATTAGATTATTATTTGAATATATCCTAATGTACACAAGCACGTTTTTAGTTCATCTTTATACTTCTCATTTGGCGATCTTTACCTCCAACGGAAGTTTCGTAAGCCGTGGTCCGAACTTCGCAGGAGGAGCCCTTGCGAATTACTTGGCTACTACAATTTCTTGGCAGGATCTTCGGTCCGCCTCCACGTCTGGTAACACTGTCAAGGCCAGTAGGGCCAACAGCACTAAACAACACCGAAAAAAACTTACCACCAAATATCTTGGAATCGCAACACTACATTATTATCTTATCTTTAGTTAAGTATTTTAATACATACCTGCACATTACCCACTACTTTGAAAAAAATTAAACATACGTCAAACGGCTATTGGCAGCAGCTGTCCTATATTAGAACTTTTGTTATATCTAAAACTCTAATATCACTAATCAATAGTCACGCCTAAACAAGTTTATCTTCAAAAATAAATAAATAAACATGAGTCTTAATATGGTACCTTAAGGCACTACCATTACCTCAGCGCTATTAGACATTAGGTACGCTGTAACACTATATATGTATATATTAACATTCATTATTGGTAGTAAATTCATGTAATCCAACCATTTTCTAATTAAGACACCGCAAACGGCGGTTAGCGTGCGTCGTTCTAGTAATTGCTTCCTACGGCTTCATTGGAAAACGAAATCGTATTTATTTGAATGGAACGAAGGAACGTGTATATTATTATTATTATATAAGCTATTCAAGTTAAATATTACAAAACATGGTTTTTGTGTGTTCACTTATACCTTTATCTTATATCATTAAACTAGCAATTCTTGTATATATACATGAAATTTAGTATACAAGGGTTTTCGGGGGCGATAAATTGATCTAGATTAGTCTTATGTTTGAGAATACGCGTGTTTCCGAGTTTTGATGCAGTTTTCTTTTGCATTATTCCACGCGAAATATGGTCGGTAATTTGCACGCTCGGGCGTAAGCATCGTGGTCAAGCGGCACAGGTGTCTAGGTTCGAATCTCGGTAGCATACAAAGTTTTTACTTTTGTTTTTTTTTTAATATTTATTCAAGTTTTTAGTTAAAAAAAAAAGAAAATTGTACTTTAGGCTAAAAACTCCGAACGAAGCTCGGTAGCCCAGGTACTGTGTATATAATATGGGAATTTCCAAGGATAGGATTATTTTCCTTTGATGAATAACTTCTTAATATTACTACTCGTATGTAATAGAAGATAAAGAAACCTCAAATAACTATAATTACTGTATAGTCTATACAGTACCTAATTTATAAGAAGCTACGCTTGAGTATTAGAAAACAGTCAAACTAACATTTTAAAGAAAGATTTTCAAAATTAATAAAAAATAATTTTAAAAGGATTCTCCTGTTTAAAACTGAAAGATAAATTATAATAAGTGCATAGTGCATAATAATATTATAACTGTGAAAATAACTTTGAGTATTACCTATTCACGCTTAATAAACATAAATTAAAATAAAAAAAACCTACCGCTGAAAAGATTTAGTTGATATTTGTCAAAGGCAAATTCAGGATGGCATGATAGTTGCAGATATAGGTGTTTCATCCCAGCATCACTAACCTCCCTCCCCTAACCCTTCCTTCCCCCCCCCTCCCCACCCTCCCTGTCTCCCATCAATTGCTCAACCACGATGCCCCGACGGCAGGGCCTCCAGAGCAGACTACCAAGCATTCGAGCGATTGCTCCCACAGAGAAGTACTAGGAGCAACCCACATAATACACTGTAACATAATACACAATATGTCCACCGAATGACCAGCTCCCAGTGTGTCTGTTGGCCTCACACCCGGCTGAAATTGACACATCGGTGGAGAAACGTTTATTTGGTTTATGACAAATGATCTACATGTCAATGACATATAGAAACCGCTTATGCTTAAATATTTAAAGACAGGGACTTACATTTAATCTTCTTCCATAATACATAATTAGAGACTTATTAAATCACTAGCGACTCGCCATCGCTTAACTCGGGTTCGTCCCTGGCTTGATTCCCCATACAAACTTTCATCCCCATTTCCTTTTAAGGGTGGGTCATTTTCC